AGACTAGGAACTACGAAGGAAGCTTTGAATTTCATGATGATCTAACACTATGCAGAAGGAGATGACACTACAATACGATAAACATTATAAAAGGAAGAAATGACCGACAAAGGGAGCATATCCATATGCCTAAATAAATAAAACTAGGATTCCAGGAAAATGCAAAGGGAATGAACAAAAAGCAGATTTCCAGGAAAATATTAGGTAATGGTATATAAGTTAAATTCTTAGGATAGGTAAGGAAACTCAAACTGAAGAAATGGATGCTAATAAGAAAGATTTCAGATACTCCCCCTTGACTTTGCTCCTTGGTAATAAACAGAATTGGATTTTTAAAATTGGGCAGTTGTAAGCATTATTAACCGTAGCTCAATTAGCTTTAAATGTAGTTTTTGGTGGCCTATTGGGGTGTCTTAGTGGGAACAAAGCTCTTTCATGGAAGGCTTAAATCATAATCCATTTTCCCAATCAAAGTTTGATGATGGTGATCTACCAAGAAATAGATTACCAAGTACCTAGTAGAAAAACCAACAAAGAGTGGTTTTGAAATAGTTAATCAAGAATAGGTCAAAGGACAGAGAGAGGTAATTACAAACCCTTCTATTCGCCTTCCCCTTTTCTGACGAAAGCATGCATGTAACATCTTTGCTGTAGGTTCACAAAATTCAGTAACATGATATAGAATCAAAGGGCAAGTGCTTACTTCATTAGTTCAAATTCACCATCAGGTGGCACAAAACTACAGTTTTCTCCGAGTTGAACCTTGTCAAATTTACACATTGATGGAAAGTGACATCATCAAGCTCAATAGTTTTACCACTGCAAAATAGATTTTGTTGATAATAGAAAGTGATATTATTAGAATCGCAGAGAAAACAAAACAGAAGAATGAAATATCCTCCCAGTACAACGCACAAAAAGGACTAAATCGGAAAAAAAAAAAATGAAAACAGCAAACATCATTTTCTGTGATAATGAAACAGAACATGGACACAACTTTTAGACGACAATATCAAAGGAAAATATCATTGGCAGGAAAAATGTGGGGAAACCATGTCCAAATGAAAGCTACCTTTTAGTAGGACGGGATTTAAGTTGTGACTCTTTCTCAAGGCCAATCTTGTCATTCAAACCCAGCTTCAAATCAGGCATTCCAGAAAGAAAGAACTTCATAAGTATCTTCCCGGTTACATCACAGCGCAAAACAACACCTAAAACCATAAAAAAATTAGCAGGAAATCTTGCAAAAATCAACATGTAGACAATCAAAATTCATGACCCACCTGTTGAAGACATAAGGAGATTCACGCTTTCCACAATATCCAGGAAGACCTGCAATGGGTCAGTGTTGTAAACTAGCATTAGTATGGCAATAATCATAAAGAGTAGATGTAGGATAGTATAAAACTCACGACTCACCTCATTCTTTTTGTACCCAAGGCCTTCTCTCTGCCAACAATAGCACCAGTAACTTGTAAAGTTGCATTTGGAACAGGTCTATCTGCGGGCTGTCCCCCCAACCCATTGCGCACAACATAAAATGAATCAAAGCATTTTATGGAATACTCAACAGACAAAACATATTAAGAAATGTAAAAGTTAAAACAAAATAAATGGACAGACAGACACAACAGACGTACACACAGGCACACAGCCACTAATGTGTAAAGTCACATTCGGAACAGGTCTATCTGTGGGCTGTTCTCCCTCCCCCCAAAACGAATTGCAGAGAGAAAGAAAATGCTATGTATAATTTATATTATTAGATATTTGGTATTTTTATATGTACATGCAATTATACATATATTGTATTCTCCAAGATTCCTTTTTCTAATTTTATTTTTTTTCATCTCAGTAACCCCATGGCTGTGTCCTATCAAGTCTGTGTCCACGTCCTTACATCATGATATTTACAATGGCATGTGCAGACTAACCTTGGATGAAAATGGGGAATGAACTCCTTCCTGAGTGATATAAAGCTTTAAGATCTCAGGTGAAAGATTTTGAGGATAACCAAAGTCCATTATTTCTGCAAATATGCATAAATATTTATCATAACCCCAGTCAAATGATAAATACTTTTCTATCACAAGAACATTACTTGATCTTTTATTATTACACAAAGTATGACTTTGCAAAACATACTTCTCCCACCTGTTAACAAAATATAAATGCACAAAGCAGAAAACCATGTATAATTATCAAGCAAGAGCACTATAGCAGTTTCACACAGCCAAGCATGACATACCAGCCACTTCCATTACAATTCACAAGCAAAGCTCTAAGTTACTACCTATTTTGACCAAGGTAGATTCCATAAAATTCTGAAGAGTTGATATAATTATGACAATCATTTTGGTCAAGCTATTATTTCCCATATAATTTAGAGTTTGCAAGAGGCATCAAAATTGCAACGAACAAAATGTATCCTTCCCTTTGTTAGCCTTAAATTTTTATCACCATTAGTTTACAATAAGATTCTTTATGCTTTTTCCAGCTGAAAGCGCAGTTTCATAAAGTATGTCATGCTTATGTGGTATTCCGTATTTCCAGCAAATTCAAATTAAATAAATATTTTACATTGTGCACAGTCAAGATCTCGCATCTCCATCCCCTCTTCATTGTAGGTACCCACTTACACATGCAACTCCTCACTTAAAAAGACTTGCGAAGATATATGAACTTGGCTACAAAATATTCTTCTAACTAACAAAAGTTTTTTAAAATATAGGCAACTGAAACACTTGCATTAACTTTCAGATATTGCATGCATTACAGAACAATATCAAAATCGAACATAGAAGGAATTTAGTTCCTCACCATGTAATTACATATCATCTAGAAGTTCATAAATGAGTACAAAATTATTGCGAATTGCATCTTCCTCAAAAGCTCCACCAAAATATGATTTGAATAGTGCAACAGCCTGCAAAGAAAAGAGGACATATTATCAACCACAATCATTTAAATAACCACATGCAAATGTTAATTATAATCAAATATCAAGAATTAAAAGCCAGAAAGTCATGCACAAGCAACAAAGATGACAACGCCTTCATCCCAGAGAGTGGAGGAAGGATAGAATAGAATAGAAAAGAACTAAAGCCCACGTCTTGAATCATAATTTAAGTGTCAATGACAGGCAGAGATTAAATACCTCAACAACAAACTTGAAAGCGCAAGCTACATTAGCATTGCTGCTGACAACAATCACGATGTATACATTGCTGATCCTCATGTAAAAGAAAGTGCAGCCACCAATCTTCCTCACAGGACAGGTACCAAGTTCTTTTGTTTGCGTTATACGCGTCCGAAAAGCATCAACCATATTTCCCCTGAAAAGCTATGAATTAGAAGACAAAGTGTTGCACCCGATAAAATCATAAACGAACTTCTAACAGCACAATCAACAAGTTCCATAGCTTCAGTAAGTGACATTCTAAAAGCAAAAACTCGTTATCACTAGTCCTAGCTGCACTAAAAGCGAAATGTTCTGCATTAAAAGTGATATCACCACTCCACATGCCGGCTTTGATAGAGACATGCTTAATTGTTCCTCACCAAAAACACAGAGTATTTTACAGAATCCGAGCTCACTAATATAAACGATGATAAAAATTAGATCATAGAACGTTTTTTCAGTGCAAAAAATGGAGACGGTTCATTCCATTTCATCACTAAGATATCTCCACTAAGCAGCAACGTTGACATAAGTTGAATAAAGAGAGAGAAAAGGAAGAGATGTTACCCAACATTGTCGCGATAGAGGCGATTGATGAGAACGTCACCGCGGAGGTTCAAGAAGTATGCAGCGGAAGAAGCCATCGGCATCTCCGGTCCAGTGTATCGGCTTCCAAATTCTCCGACAAAGAAATTCCGGAAGAAGAAGAAGAATCAGACACGGTGGCTCCGCCGCAGATCTGTGGCTTGGAGAAGGAGTAGCAACCAAACGTCGTTGTCGTCGTCGACGGAGAAAAGAAAAGAAACAGAGTGAGAAAAATTCCAGACTCCGTGACGAGTCAGCGAAAGTTACACACCAACACCCGACACCGTTCAGCAATGCACTTAGACGGCACGTGCGTCTCCCGTGAGGGGCCGTTTGGTTAACGATAAATTTTTATGAATAACCGGGAAATGAGATTAAGAGGGAAATAGTTGGAATATGAGTTTGGTAATAAAATGTAAAAAAAGTTGTTTCGTTAGATAAAATTTTGATGGAGAAATTAGGTAACCTTTACAAAGTCTATGTTTGGGTGTAGATAAAATATAGATAGAGAAATTAATTGATATTACGAAAATAACTTGTATTTAAAATTTTTATAAAGTCTATTTATGACGTGGCAAACTAGCTTCCCCGTTATGTCTTTCACATCAATGCCCTTTTGGCCAGGCGTTAGTTCAATATATCCATATTGCTTATGTATTCTACAGAAATATTTTGTTTGTCAATTTTTTGTAATTCATATTTCATTCTAATGAGATACCTTTATATGGTTCGTGAATAGGAAGTGTAGTAATAGACTACTAGTAAAGATTAAAACTATAATACTCAAACTGAAGGATTCAATCCGCAATGATTAGTTAAATCTGCCAGCATAATATGTCGACATTTTCGGTTTTAGATGATGAAGCAAATTAAGTTTTGAATGATAAATTTAACCAGATGTAATTCGTGGACGGTTGCACCTAATCAAAACTTAACCTGGATAAGATTTAAGGAACGATATCTCAATATCAAAATTTAACTTGGTTACTATTTGAGTCAAAACTTCGTCAATTGTCTACTGATGTCGATCAATGGTCATATTTTTATTTAATTGGTGTGCCGCTTGTTAAGGTTTGTCTGTATTTAGACAGAATAGGAATCCAGAAAGCAATATATATATATATATATATATATATATATATATATATATATATATATATACCAAGGTGTGATTAACTGAAAATGCCACTGAAGGTGAAGAGACAAATTATTTTTCAACTAAGTAGGTGCCTTGTGAGAAAGATGCATGTTTAACATAAATAAATTCAGTTGATTCCACACCCATATGGTGATGGCTGCCGAGAAGACACAAATGACAAGTCGGACCAACTGGCATAGCAGCAGACAAAGTTGTTGATGCTTACGTAATAGATGTAAATGGTAAGATTCTTGATAGAAAATCAATGGGAGAAGATGTATTTTGGGCCATTACAGGATTGGAGGATAAAGATTGCATAGTATTGAAATTATACACATTCACCCATAACACAGTTGCCAAAATGCATCAATCTGATGTCCTCTGCATTATGGTCTGGCTGTCTATTGTCATCATCCTTTGGAGGCAACGCTGTCAATCTGATTGAAATTTTTTCAAGATACAAATAAACTAAAGCCTTCAATGACTCCAAAGCAGTCCACATTGTATGACAGTGCATCCTTCGTACCATCACCCATACACTGTCAAACCAAAGAATTAATAAATCAAGTTAAGCACATTATTGAAGGCTTATCAACACCTCTTAGCATAAACATATAATGGACATATGCATATACCAGGAAATATATATCCAATGCTATTACTCAAACATGACATGGATTGGAAGATTCAAATAAGCAGTCCCCAATGAGTTGGAAATCGGTACAGCCATCTGACTTGCAAAGTGACTGCAACGGCAGGAACAAAGCATCAAAGCCAGCAACGACTTCAAAAGTGTCTTCAGTTTGCCTCTTTGTGTTGGAACTCAGTATTTATAAGCACAAAGACAGTTTACTTGTATCAGTTATGGCTAATACAAAAAATCCCTAAGACAAGCAATGAGTCAGTATTTGTACGAGTTTCTACTGCAGACATTTCTGTACAATGACTCTTACCATGGTATTAACCCCATGTACTAGGAAATGAAACCACACCAAAAGGGAACACATATATAGTGTAGCAAAAAGTCCTTACTGGACCAAAAAATACTGTGCCTATATGATCAACATGATGCATCAAGTTAGTTCACAAAAAAAAAAATACTCAGCAAGTGACCTTTCGATCACATGATAAGACTCAACTGAAGAGCACAGGGGTTTGTTTCTTGGGTGAGCATACTAGAGATCGTTAGTTGTTTGTTGATTCCACATACACAGGCATGCAATTAAAACTTGATATCCTTTTTCTGTTTCAACTTAGTCAAACCCTCGAATAATGTATCTTTTCATCTATGGTCCACTACATTGATTAAGGACTCGATACAATTCAAGAAATTTTTGTTGTAACTGGCATGCCCTGTTTTCCTTTTATTCTAAACTCTTACATTTTTTAAACAAAAAAAAAAAGGAGAAGGGATCCATTATCTTTATGACCCCTGAAGTTCTACCGTCAACTTGAGGCAAAATTTTCATAATATATGAAACTGTTCTTCAAACTCGCCTAGAAAAGATTCATAATTGAATCATAAAATGGAATTTGTCATAAACATCATTTTGCTTTGAACATTCAAGGAGTGGGATGTGGGCTTCCAACATTCTTCATGCATATGTTTAACTGCCCCAAAATAAATATTCTTTTTTGGACACTGAAGTCATGCTTCCCTTTTTTAATTTTTAAATTTCCCCACCTTAGTCATTAAGCACCTCCATTGGGTAAATGATTTTCTTATCTTATTTTAGAAAAAAGGCAAACACATTATGGTTTTTCATCATGAGGGGAAGGAGAATAAGCAGTCAGCTCTTTAGCCAACTCATTCAAATTTTTTAAAAAACACAAATATGAAGACTCTCTTCTTTTCGTGTAGTATTTGGAACACTGTCAGACAATTTCAAGACATTGAAAACGAGGGGTTAAACAAATGAACCATTTTACCCACTGCTGAAATATGATGCTATTTGTATCTAAAATTCTTGAATAAAAAAATGACAGAACTGAAGTATCACAAGTCCTTATTTATTTGTTTTATTTAAGAAAAGAAGAAAAGAAAAAGTGGTTCTGTATGTGACAAAAAGAATAAGATAATTTTTTTCATATCAGTTGTCTTTTGCAAGAGGGAAAAAAACTGGGAGAAGCTATACGATTAAGTAACATAGTTACCGGAGAGGTTGTGGAAGAAGTTGACGGCAAAGACTAAGTGCAGGCTCTGTCGGTGACCGTTGCTTCTAGACGCTATAAATATACTCCAACCAGAAACGCGATGTGATAACAACACTGACGATTTTGTGTTATCTCAGATGTGAAGGAGAAATCTCAAGTTCAACACCTGCCAAACCTTTTTCACCTACATGCAATTTACTCAATTAAAATCTAACACCATGGATGAAGGAAAAAACGCAAACTTTTTGTGGAACTGATAGGGTAAACGATAACTACTCTCTTCGAGGGAGAGCAACCTCCACAAAAGCTAAAGAAATACTATAATTCTTCTCTGATCTTATTCACAAATGAGTGTCCCCTTAAATACACGAATCAGGGAATCTTTGGAGGAATACACAAAACAGAATTGCAAAGGGAAGGGAATACAATCAGAGAATGCAAATAACAATATTCCGCAACTCGCGGAGATGCTTCATTGCGCACTATAACAACCTAACACGTCACAGCTTGAAGTCTCTCATCCATTTGGGCTTAGTACGATTCCTTTTAGCCCATCTGCTGTTTTGGTTAGCCACTTGTTCTTCCTCTTGGGCCATCAGCACATCTGTCACATGGTCCTGGCCTTCTTCGTTAGCTGTATCAGCGTTAGCCCCATTCATATCATCCCTGGTTGCTTCCAAAAACACCTTGTCCTCAAGGTGTAGCTTTGGATAATCATCTAAGACTTCAGACAAATTTTCCCAGGTGGCATCCTCTGGAAACATTCCACTCCACTGGACTAGTACCTGTTGCAATCCTGTTTCTGCACACACCCTCTCAGCCAATACAGATATTGGTTGGATCACTGGTTGACTGTCAATGATCGCTGGTGGTAAAGCTAAGCAAGGTTCGACATCAGACCCATGAAATGGTTTGAGAAGTGACGCATGAAATACATCATGAATCCTACAATTTTCAGGCAACTGTAACTGAAAAGCTACCTCACCAATGCACTTAATGATCTTGTAAGGGCCATAAAAACGTTTTGCTAACTTCTGCACTCGTCTCCCAGCAAGTGACTGTTGGCGATATGGCCTGAGTTTCACCATGACCCAATCACCTAGACAAAAGGAATGATCCTGTCGTCCCCTATCAGCTGCCACCTTCATGTTTTGTTGTGCTTTAGTCAAATTCTTCCTTAGTGTCTCCAAAACCACTTCTCGGTTGCTAAGTTCGAAATCAACAGCCCCCACCGAACTAGTGTTGCTAATATACTGGGGAATTGAAGGTGGTTTCTTGCCATACACCGCCTCAAATGGAGTGAACCCAGTCGAGGCATGGACAGCAGTATTATAGCACCATTCTGCCCACACAACCAACCTACTCCAAAGTTGTGGTTTATGCATCGCAAAAGCCCTCAAGTACTGCTGCAGTGTCCTGTTGACGACCTCAGTTTGGCCATCACTTTGTGGGTGATAGGCAGTAGAGAAGCGAAGCTTAGTCCCACTCATCTTAAACAACTCCTGCCAAAAATGACTCAGAAATACTGGATCGCGGTCAGAAATAATGCTCTTGGGCATTCCATGAAGTCGACAAACCATATGAGCAAATAAATCAGCAACTTTAGCTGCTGTATAGTGGCTAGGGAGCAAACCAAAATGAGCCGCCTTTGAAAACCTATCAACAACCACCAAAATCACAGTATAGTTGTTTGAGGGGGGTAGCCCTACCACGAAGTCCATTGATATGTCTTCCCAAATTTGAGTGGGAATGGGAATTGGCTGTAAAAGTCCCAATGGCAAAGTGTTGGGTGTTTTAATTTGCTGGCATACCAAGCATTTCTTCACAAACTGAGCCACGTCGCTCCTCATGCCTTTCCATGAGAAATTCTCACTAAGCCTTCCTACTGTCTTGGCTATACCAAAATGACCCCCAATCTGAGATGAGTGGAATTCCTCCATCAGTAGCTGCTTAAACGGAGAAAGAGCACCCAAAAATACACGACCTTCATAGAGCACCAACCCTTGGGCCAATGAAAACTTCGGGTGATGTTCTGGTGTCTCCTGTAGTTCTAACACCAGTTGTCGCATGTCAGGCTCGGCTGCATAAGACTCTTTAATTTTGGTAATTATCTCAAAGTGCGGTATAGTCAGGGCAGACATCTGTGCATGGGCCTCATGGCAACGAGAGAGGGCATCTGCTACTCTGTTCTCCGTTCCTGGTTTATAAAGGATGGAGTAATCATAACCAAGCAGTTTAGCCAAGTAATAGTGCTGCTCAGGAGTCTGGATCACCTGGGTCATTAGCTCCCGGAGGCTCTTTTGATCAGTGTGTATGACGAACCGTCGACCCAGCAAATACGGCCTCCACTTCTTGACTGCAGAGGTAATAGCATGTAATTCTCGCACATAGGTACTTGCTGTTAGCAGTTTTGGGCAGAATTTTTTGCTGAAAAAACTAATGGGATGCCCCCCTTGGAGTAAGACTGCACCCATCCCAAGCCCCGACGCATCTGTTTCAATTACAAAGTCAGTAGAAAAATTAGGTAAGGCTAAAACAGGGGCTTCGGTCATGGCCCTTTTTAGCCACTCGAAAGCTTCCTGTGATTTGGGAGTCCATTCAAAAGAGTCCTTCTTCAACATATCAGTCAATGGGGCTGCTATTGAGGCATAGTTCATGACAAACTTCCTATAGAACCCAGTCAACCCCAAAAACCCGCGCAACTGCTTCAAGTTCTTCGGTAATGGCCATTCGACCATGGCTTTGATTTTCTCTGGGTCCGGACTTACCCCTTCCCTAGAAATTATATGCCCCAAGTACTCCAGTGACTCCTGCGCAAAAAAACACTTAGATTTTTTTAAGAAGAACTGATTTGCCTTCAACTCAGCAAACACTTGTTCCAAGTGCGACGCGTGATCTGTCAGAGTCCTGCTATAAACTAAAATGTCATCAAAAAACACAATAGCAAAATGACGTAGGTAAGGTTTGAGAAGTGAGTTCATGGTCGCCTGGAATGTCGAGGGTGCGTTGCAAAGGCCGAAAGGCATCACCAGAAACTCGTAATGGCCGTCATGTGTGCGAAAGGCTGTCTTTGCTACATCCTCCGGGGCCATTCGGATCTGATGGTACCCTGCGCGCAGATCCAGCTTAGAAAACCATTTTGCGCCATGAAGTTCATCCAGAAGCTCATCAATCGCCGGTATCGGAAAACGATCTTTGTGGGTGATTGCGTTTAAGGCTCGGTAGTCAACACAAAAACGCCACGAGCCATCTTTCTTTTTCACCAGTAAAGCTGGAGACGAAAACGGGCTGACGCTATCTTGTATGATTCCCGATGAGAGCATCTCACGGTCTAACCTTTCAATTTCGCGTTTTTGGAAGTGGGGATAGCGATATGGCCGGACGTTCACCGGCTCGGAGCACGCTTCCAGCGTGATATGGTGATCAGTTGCACGCGACGGAGGAAGTGTTGCTGGTGTCTCAAAAATCTCGACGAAGGTCTGGAGTAGGCGTTCTATCTCAGGCGGCACTCTCTGCTCTTGATTCGGGCTCGTAATGGGCACTGCTTGAAAATGAAACATTTCAGCAATGGCTTGTGTGGAAGCCATCCTTTTCAATTGGGTTGTGGATATACTTTGCAGCTTCATGGGTTGGGCCCCCGTTAACTGCACTACTTGCCCTTCTTTTATGAATTTCAGAGTTAATGAGTCATAATCTGTCAACACTGGGCCCAAAGTTTTGAGCCATTGCACCCCCAATACTAGGTCTGCCCCGGTTAGAGGTAAGAGGAAAAAATCCACGATGAATTTATGCTTGTTAAGTTGCAGGGGTACTTGCCTACACACAGAAGAGCATACCAATTCTTCCCCATTTCCAACTACCACAGAGAACGCTTGGGCCACTTGTGTTTCCAAGCCCAAAAACTTAGCAATTCTATCTTGCATAAAATTATGAGTACTGCCACTATCGATTAAAACTGACAACTCAGACTTACCAATTCGCCCTGGGACCCGCAGAGTTTGTGGTATGCTATGGCCCACCAAAGCATTAAAACTGATCTGGACCTCACTTGGGCCAGTATCTGTACCCACTGTTTCAACCTCAGCCGCTTGAGCTCCTCCCGTCAGCATATCTCCAGGGTCAAGCAACTCCTCAGAGTTGTGTTCAGGTGGGACGATGAGCATCATAAACTTCCTCTTACAACGGTGCCCAACGTGATACTTTTCATCACAATAGAAACAGAGGCCCTTTTCTTTCCGTGCTTGTGCATCCTCGGGTGATAACCGCAAGATATTTGGCTTCTGGTTTGTTGTTAGAGAAGGCTTCAGAGTATTAGTAAACTGATGCGAATTCTTTGTAATCCCCGCGCCGGAGCTTGAGGACGAAGGCGTAATGGTTTTCCCTTTCTGGGTATTAGCAAAGTCACTCCACTTGTCTTCCTGGAGTCGTGCAAGCCCAATGGCCTGAACCAGAGTGTTTGGTTGCAGAGCCATCACTTCCCGTCGAATCTCTGGTTTTAATCCGGAGATAAAACAGCTGAGGAATGCATTCGTCGGTAGACCAACAATGCGATTAGCTAAAGCCTCAAATTGAGTCTGATACTCACGAACCGTTGAGGTTTGAGTTAGCTTAAATAGAGCTCCTCTGGGGTCCTCATATTGTGACGGGGCAAAACGCAGCTCAACAGCATGGAGAAAATGTACCCACGTCGGTAACTGTCCATTTGCGTGCATCCACTGGAACCACCCTATCGCCTCACCTTCCATGTAAAAGGATGCAATCCGTAAACGCTGGTCATCAGGTGTCTGATGATACTCGAAAAACTGCGAGATTTTAAAGATCCAGCCCAAGGGGTCAGATCCGTTAAATCTGGGAACGTCCAGCTTCATTCTTGTATTCAAGTTCGTGAGAGGGGGATGGTTAGGTGCACCTTCCACGATGGAGTTTTTTTGTTCGATTGCTGTAACCTTGCTCATCAACTGTTGCATATCTGCCTGCATTTGACGCTGGGTTTCCATCATCATGTTCATTACTTTTTCTAATTTTTCTGCGGAGATAGATTGAGAACTGGCCATGGTGGCTCTCAATGAAAGCACCACTTGATAGGGTAAACGATAACTACTCTCTTCGAGGGAGAGCAACCTCCACAAAAGCTAAAGAAATACTATAATTCTTCTCTGATCTTATTCACAAATGAGTGTCCCCTTAAATACACGAATCAGGGAATCTTTGGAGGAATACACAAAACAGAATTGCAAAGGGAAGGGAATACAATCAGAGAATGCAAATAACAATATTCCGCAACTCGCGGAGATGCTTCATTGCGCACTATAACAACCTAACACGTCACAGCTTGAAGTCTCTCATCCATTTGGGCTTAGTACGATTCCTTTTAGCCCATCTGCTGTTTTGGTTAGCCACTTGTTCTTCCTCTTGGGCCATCAGCACATCTGTCACATGGTCCTGGCCTTCTTCGTTAGCTGTATCAGCGTTAGCCCCATTCATATCAGGAACAAACCGAAAAACACAGCCGAAATCAAAATGTGTACCTTCGAGTTACCTCCCATAGTGACCAACTTCGTTCTCAGTAATGGTTCTTTTGGATTTCAGACCACAATCAAGAAGATGGTGAAGACAAGCTTGTGCACATCCAATTCGTTTGCATGTTTCCGTCTGCCTCTTGCCAAGTCTTGGTCTTTGGATAGTGATAACTCTAAACACTGCAATGGTACGACATTTTCCATTTGCGCGCTTGTCAAAGGGTACGCTCGTCAATTGGTTATTAAACACTGTGACAAGATAGGTAGCAATAGCATAATACCACATCTGAGAAGGGCATTTTTGGAGACAGATACATATGCATCTTAGTTTCATAACTATTTCATTTACCTAGCCAAATTTCCAAAATCGTTCAACCAAACATAATCACCACATAATTCCACTTCACATTTTCTCATCTTTTTCATCAAAATCCTCCAACCAAACGCCCCTTAAGGTGGTGTTTGGCTGGCGTCTTTCCAAAATATTCCTAGACAAGTGAGAGAAGTATTCCAGAATATCATTGTTTGGTTGAATAGTTTAGAGTAAAAGTCAGGCATCCAAAATACATAGGTTTTTCAATTTAAGTGGAAAATGACAGATATCGGTACTGTTTGAAAAGCGTTTTCATATGTGGTTTTTTGTAAAATCACGGCTAAACCACTGTTTGAATCATTTGTTTGTAACTAATATATCCTTTCAAAATGCAACAAAGATGATACGATGAGAGATCTTCTGTGTGTGGTCAGCAGCTTAGGGCGTCAGTAGGTTGTCTTCCTTAGAGCACCTTCCCGCAAGTAGGGACCGGAAGAAAGCAAGGTGGTGCACGGTGGTTGTCGATCTCACCTTCCCGCAAGTAGCGTCAGAAGGTTTGGCACTGGAACCCGTTCAGCCACCAATTGCTCTGCATCCAATTCTGGGGTTTCCAGCAGCTTTCTAAAGTTCTCATGATCTGGGTCCTTATCATAACCAAGCTTCCTCCACTGAGCAATTTTGGACCCATGATGAATCACCGTATGGAAGAAAGAATCAAAGAGCAAGATAAAATATGGACAAACGGAACGAATATCTAGAAGTACTAGGTGGCCCATCAAATGAACATTGGAATAGCGTGGGTTGAATCATTATAAGAGAGCCCACTACTCCCTCGCGGTTCAGCATAAGCCGGAAAAATGCAGAATTATCAGGAGTAGTGTTACAGAGATCAATAAATTGAGAGCGCCTTAAGTGGAACATAAATCGGGGATCAAATTGTAATTTAAAACATTTACCTATCTATATTTTTTCCAAAACCAAACATAGATTTTCAAAATTTGGATATATTTACCTGGTAAAATTTTATCCAACCAAACAACTTTTTTTTACATTTTCTTATCTATCTCAGTTTATCTCACTTTCTTACCATTTTCCTATCAATTCTATTTCTCTAGTATTCCAAAAATTTCTCATCAATTAAACGCTCCCTAAGAGTTTTTTTTTTTTTTTTGGTAAACATAAGCGTTTTTAGTTAACTATTGATTCTTTTTTAATCAATTATTTCAATGATATAAATTCTCGCTCATTTTTTTATGTTATAAAGAAATAATAAAAAAATATGATAACACCTATTACTGTTTATATAATATGTATTAAATTTATTTTTTAGAAATAAGAAAACATGAAAATATTCAAGATTCAAATTTATGACAGTATATTTTTATTGCAACTAATCAATCATAGTTGAGTTGTTGATTTTTTTGTTTGTTTTAAACTATGATAAATAATTAAAAAAAACTTTAAAAATATAATATTAAACACAAAAACGACTAGGCAGTTGAACATTTGCAAATTTTTTTAATAATTTATTGTATTAATGATTTGTCTGGGTATGTATGTGCTTATGATAAGTGAAAAGAAAAAAATGTTAAAAATAGAAGTCGGGCTTAAATAATTTTCTTCCAAAAACGAAAATATTTTTCCCCGTGATTGTATTGTACAAACAAGTGTAATCGTAAAAAAAAAAAATACAATTGTGACTAGTTTTTTTTATTTTAGAGTAAATATCCTTTTACGAAGCTCATTTTGATCCTTAATTTTAGAAAAATAGTGTCACGTTTGTTCTTCTGTTAGTTGGCATCCAACAGCCCAACTAACGGAGCACAGGTGGACTGTTAGTTTGCTAAGTGACTGTTAAGTAGTCTAGCATGGAAGTAATACGATGACGTTTTGAACATGCCTTATGTCTTGTTGGAGTTTTGGACAGCTGACCCTAGCATCGAAACAGCAAGTGACCTAATATGGTCCATGTCAATTTTAGAACCCTAAATCAGCCAAAATCAACCATAAACAAAAAAATTCTCCAAAAGCTCTGCACGTTGATGACTGAAAATTGAGGAGAGTAGAAGTTATTTACTAGATTTGCTGAGGCGTAGGAGAAGATGAGTCTTTCATCTGGCATGGGGGGCTCAAGTGAGAGTACTTCAATAGGGGTAGAACAACCTCAAGTAGATGACGTATGTAATGAAAGGCTGGGGCTTGAAGATGGAAGAATACACAAGGTGGAGTTGGAAGTTGCTGAAATGGATTTCAAGTTGAAGTATGTGAACATGATGATGAGTGAACAATTTTAAGCTGAAAGACCAAGGTGTGAAGATTATTGAGCAAGAAGTGTAGATTAATGACCAGGAAAGGAAGCTGAATGAGCTATGCTTGAAGATGGTTTCAGAGTTAGATAGGATGAACAATGAAATTAGGTATGTTAGTTGGTCAGCTAAAGTCATAGTTGGTGCTTGTGTAGGTGTGATGATGATTTGTATTTTTGTTGCAAGTGTGGTAACAACCAAATTAACTACTTTATATAGTTAATTTTTTAATAACATATATTATAAAAGAAATTAAATCCTCTCATATGTAATTATGTGTTCAAATTATTTGATCATAATTATTCAAAAAATATATACATATTTTTTAAATGGGTGATTATAGAGGTGGCAAAGTGGGCGCCCCACCCCGCCCCACCCCGTTATCAACCCGCCAAAAAATGAGTCAGCCCGTCTCACCCTGCTTTTGAAAGTGAGCTGAAAAACTCAGCCCGCACCGCCCCGTTTGACGAGTTGTTCGCCAGCTCGAGCCTATTTTATACTGACCCGCCTCGGCCCGCAATGCCCGCCGTCAACCTGCCAAAAAATGAACCCGTCCCGCCCCGCTTTTGAGATGGGTTAAAAAACTCAGTCTGTCCCGCTACGTTTGACGGGTTGAGCGGATTGACCCGCCGAGCCCGTTTTGCCGGCTCTGGGTGATTATAGTAAAATAACATCTAACACATTTTTTCACATTATCCAAATCCATTATAAAGTAATTTCAATGTTGTTCCCTCGCTGCCCCTGATTCTGAATTTTGGGGTCAGCTTTTTATTCATCAGTCATTCATATTTATAATCACACTGCTCTTCAGTCTTCACTCACTCACTGTCTTTTCAACTTCCCTTTCCTCTTCTACGCTATCAGTCTTGTTTCTCTCTCATGTCATCAAACTAGCAAACTCTACTCCAAGACTGCACTTCGGTTTTCATTTCTGTATCGATGGATTCTCAGGAACAGCTAAACATGGTGGTGGGTGGCGGTTCCTACCCCGATACAATGACCCGGTTCGCATTCAACAACAACGCCACCCATTACGACGGTTTGACGCCGTGCGACTCCGTCAAGAAGAAGAGGGGCCGTCCGAGGAAGTACTCGCCTTCGCCAGCTGGCAACATCGCTTTGGGTTTGACTCCCACACATGTGTCTTGTGCTTCTTCCGCACCCTCCACTGAACCTCTGGCCAAGAAGAATAGGGGAAGACCCTCTGGCTCTGTAAAGAAGCAGCTTAACGCGCTTGGTATCTATTTTGCTATTTGAGGCGTTACTTTTTTTTTTTTTTTTTTTTTCTAACTTGTGATTATTTTGATTGTGGTTGTTTATTGCTCAGGAACTGGTGGGACTGGTTTTACTCCTCATGTAATCTTGGTTGATACTGGCGAGGTATGAAGTAGGAGCAGTGACTGGTTATTGGCTATTTATTCTTACTTGCATTTTCTTTTTTTCTCTCTTTTTCAAGTATTATCTGAAATTTTTAAATTCAAATAGCATCGTATATAGTGTTTGAAAGAGCGGCAAAGTTACTGAACTCCGTGGAGTTTAGACTATTTAGTGATGTTTGGCAAATGGTAGTTGATGTTGATGTTACATTTACCTCCCCTTTTTCCAGTTAGTGAGGGATATGAACTGTAAAGCTTTGCTTTTCACAATTTCAAAAGCTCGGTTACTTTGTGAATTGCAATGCTAATGTAGATTCACTATCTTTATATTTTATTTGTACTTAACTTTTTAGGTGGGTTTTTGAACTAGTCCCTATTGGCAGGGGTGGTGCTTCTTAACATTGTTCCCCTCTTGTTTGTAGGACATTGCTGCAAAAATTATGGCCTTTTGTCAACAAGGACCCCGGACAGTTTGCATTCTTTCTGCTAATGGTGCAATCTGCAATGTCACCCTTAGACAGCCAGCAGTGTCTGGGGGTACTGTGACATATGAGGTACTTTTTTGACATCTTTTTAGAATCCATTCAATACCCATTTATCAATCATTAAATGTTTCGTTTATACTATATTAATTGGAAATAAACTGATGTAATATATGCTTGCTTGATGTGCTTACTCCTAAAAGCACTGCTTGTCAAGGAGAACATGAAACTACGTGCATCTATTATCTTCCATCACATAACCAGCATTTTCCTTATTTTCCACTACAGAATATTACTAAGCTTTTAAGCATGAAATCTATCTATCACAAACATTAATCGGAGTGCCATATTTGTCTTTCCCTACTAAAACAAGAAAGCTTGTGTACTTTCACTACATGATGTTTCCTGTCTTCCCGGCAGTCTCTGAATTGGCAAAGGGTATATTAGTTTAATAACGGGGTTCGAAAGTCAATATTCATATTGATGGGTTTTCTTCTAAGAGAGAACTACGTTTAGCAGCATCTTTAGTTCTGCTTATGTTTAATTTTAGTACTTTAGATGTAAAATTTTCATTATTTTGACACTGTTGGTTGATTATATAATTAAATATTAAAAATTTATGTGTTTAGGTTTAATTCTCTTCACATGATGTCTCTTTCATTACAGGACAAATTTGAGATTATATCCCTTTCAGGTTCTTTACTACTATCTGAAAATAATAGTGGTTGCAGCAGAACGGGTGGCTTGAGTGTTGTCATCGCAAGGTCTGATGGACTAGTATTGGGTGGCGGAGTTGCTGGAATGCTTACTGCTGCATCACCAGTACAGGTATTGCTCTCAAATGATGGAAATTTTATATCAATTGTAAACAATGGGCCTTCATAGAATTTTCCTTCTACCCATTTACATGTTCTAAGAGCACATTGTGTATGTAAGTTCTTGGGTATTGGAAAATGGAAAGTCTTTTTTGCATGAAAGGTTGATCCAACTCTGCTGCATTACTTTTGTTACTTTTTAAAATTCATTATCAGGTCATTGTGGGTAGCTTTATTGCGGATAGCAAAAAGTCTAGCTCAAATAACCTGAAATCTGGGCCATCTACGACGCCATCATCCCAAATGTTAACTTTTGATGCTACTATGACTCCAAGCAGTCCTATCTCTCAAGGGCCTTCCAATGAGTACTCTGATGACAATGATAATAGTCCTTTTAGTAGGGGGCCTGGACTCTACAATAATGCTAGTCAGCCCACTTATATTATGCCAGCGTACCATCATCAATTGTGGGCTGGCCAAACTCAGCAGTGAGGATGCTTTTTTAGACTGAAAAGTGCAGAAGCTGGGTACTTGCATGATGATTGTTCAAAGTAGTGGCTAGAGGTCAAATTCTAAAATGCTAACATGTGTTATTGGTACTGGTTTTAGAAAAATCTATCTTGAGTACTAGTTGTTGTACTTAATTAATTGCTGTAGTAGAAAGTAACTCTAAAATTTAGTTCTCCTTTTGTATTCCCAGGGTTGTTGAGTTATCCATTTCTAAAAAAGAATGTCATCGCGTACATTCAACAATATGCTTGTTACGTAAACTTGGGTCAACCACAATACTACTGATTTAATTGTAATTTCAACATCATCATCATCCGACCAGAGTCGAACTTATAAGCCCATTCTCATGTTTATTTCTAATTTTCAGCACTTTAATTTACTCTGAAGACCTAAAAGTTCACAATAAATTGAGGGCTACATATATTTATTTTTTGGTTGATTTCTATGAACTAGTAATCAAGTGAAATATTTTTTGAAAAAAAAAAGTAATCAAGTGAAATCGAGCAGACAGGACAAAAAAAAGGAAAAACGAGTGGGAGCATTCGAGGATGAAGATAGTTGCATGCATAGTTTGGATACTTATTATTACAAGTTTCACATTACTTGCCTATGCAATTAATGTAGGGTTTATAACCTTATACACTTTCACTTTTTTAGTTAGTTTTTAGGGTAATGGTCTCATGGTTCGTAATAAATGGGTGAAACTGCCCCAAAAGGAAAAAGTTAGTGTCAACAAAGTGAAAGGTGTTGTTGACATCGGCTCTAAAAGGATATGGTGTCTTAATAACTCTCACCCTTTGAATTAATTTTTGGGTGGTGACTACAAGATTCGTAACACCTGCGTAAGAATTATTGTCCGGTTTAACATTGTAAATTCCTTGAGTTTCCTTCAGAAAAAAAGTTGTCGAAGAGCTCCACCGCAAGACATCAAATTGCTTTGAAGTTAAAATTAACCTCAATATCAACTTTTGGAGTTCAAATCTTTGTGTTTGCTTACTTCTTCGGCTTTCTACGTGATGTAATTTAGTCGATCGAAATATTCTTTTCAGGTAATTTTGTCCACAAGTGATTTGGAGATACAAACTTATATTGATGTATGGGAGAGGACCCTCTGGATATATTGCTTCTACTCTTTACAGGCCCAAAACAATATTATATTACTCATAAGCAGAGGTGCCAAACTCAGCGACTCGCTCCACGTCATTAATTCATCGAAAAATAAGTCAGTTCATCCTGTCTTGTTTTTTGAGAGTGAGTTCAAAAATTCAACTCATCTTGTCTCGTTTGACAAACAGGGCGGATTGGCCTACTAATCTGAACATGTTTTATACTAACATGCTTTCCTCCATCATCAATTCGCCAAAAAACAAGTCAGTCCGCTTCATCTTGCTTTTGAAAATAGATTGTAAAACTCTTATTTGATGGACGGGACGGGTGGCAGGCCAAACCCGTTTTGTTGGCCTTAATTACTACGCCTCAATTCATGATTACAAGCCCTTGTGCTATAAATTTTGATTTAGATATAAATGAAAATTACATAATACCTTTTATTAAAATTCTATTTATCTGTTTATGTGTATCCTTAACGTTGAATTTAATAAAGGTGGATAAAGACGAAAATTATATATATTTTAATTTAAAGTGGTGATTAAAATAAATAATTTAATTATATTTAAAAAGTTCATATATATTTCTTAATTGAAAAAATGGTTGTTCTTAAAAACATTCCAGGACACAGGTCATATTGAAACTGTGAATGGTTCCGAATAAGAGGTGGCGTTAATTGAAATCATTCCATTGTGATTAATTGAGGGTGAACTACCTAATAAATTGACGGATGGGTACGCGTTAATACGCGCAATCGACACATCAAAACCTTTGACAATTTTTTACCACCGACAAACCACAAGCGTACCGAACCATCCTTTAAAAAAAACCGTTTACCTAATTTATTAACTAACTAAAACCACTACTGGGTATGTATACAATGCACATGCCTATGCCTTGATTTTCTACAAATTCTGGGAGCGAGTGTGACTCCAAATCTAATCTGGTAATAATAAACTTAACTCTATCTTTTAATTAATGATGGAACAATATATACATTACTCTCAACAACCAGAATAGAAGGACATTTGTTTATTTTATATATAAACCATAGGTATCCTCCATCCTCCTAAAGATAGTATTGAAGAAGATCGAAAATATGCTCTCACATCATCTATTCAATTCTTATATATCAACTGAGCTATTATCATTAACTAGAATGTCATCTTTTTAAGAACGAGATCAACGACCCAAAAACAACCAACAATAATATTTTCATGAATGATTAGCTAACGGAGCATCTTATTCCGTATATTGTCCAATTAATTATTGTCATGAATATGCGTTAACCAAATAGATTTAGTTTTGTTTTGAAGGGAAAAAAAAACCTAAACCATGCAAAATAAATTTGTTCAATTTTATTCGGTTATGCAATTTCTTATTTTATTTTTCCAAATCCTAATTAATGTGATTTGATTCGAGTCATTAAGTTTGATATTTTTTTTAAAAAAAAATCCTACGAACAGAAATCAAGGAATTATAAGGTTCATTTGTTGCATCTAGTGCCTACAACAAGAGTCATCCATTGCTTCCTAGAGTCATTAGTTGCTATTCTAGCTTTTTAAGGAATTTTCAAGATTGATTGAAAGAAATACTCAAATTGCTACTGCGGTTTGTTGGATCAGTCCAAAGCAATAAACACGCCATTCCTGAATGTATTTGATAATCACTTATGTTCTGCACAGAGAAGTTGATTTGTTTTTTAAAATGGGAATTATGATACATCTTTCCAATAACTTCTTTATTGAGATTCAAATTCGCATTATAGTTGTAGGTAGATGAGATTGCTCACATTAAAATAAAATTAATAATTTAGTTCTTCTGTGTACTACTTTATTATTGAAATGTGGTTTTTATAAATAAAGATATTTTTAAATGATCAAATTAATTTTTAAAACAAATACAATAATTTTTTAAATAAGCTGTCAATAAATAAAATTCTCCACCAAGTATGTGGTTATTCGGATGCATAAAACGACAACTAGTTCCTTTTTTTCTTTTTTTTTTTGTTTCTTCGTTAAATGTTCATTGTGGATATACCTTCGGATTTTAAAATGTTCAAAATCGAAATTTCGCTTTCAGATGTCATATATTGTTATTAAATATATATTATTTTGGGGTATGTTTCGTTTACAATGCACTCTTTTGTCTCTTGTACTAACTTAGAAGGCGCCTGCTATCTAACGATGTTTACCAATTCATTATGTTAACTTGGAACTTGCGTGTCCGAGTGGAGCGTAACCCAACGCATTGACCAAAGTCGGCAGAACCAAACTTACGCCACGCGCCACTCATTCCTCAATCACTTATCGCCTTCGGCGGAGGAGACTCATAAGTCATAAGTAAACAACATCTCACGCTCCCACGCGCCTCTTCACGAGCGTGATTCTCTTGCAGTACAAGGGATCCTTTCTCCAACGGCTACTTCCCATTGAAGAACCGAGAACGCAAGGCAACACGGAAATAATCCAAAGCAACCCTCTCTCTCTTCTCTATGGCCACCTAAATAATAATAATAATAAATTTAATAACAATTATCTCAAAAAAATTATATATATTTGTTATTGTTATTAATTATTATGTCCCCTTCCCCTTAAACTTTTCATATATAATATGCTATTGTAGATATAGAAAGTGTTGTTGCAGGTTATATAGCTACAAACGTAAATTCCAAAATTCAACTTCAACCTCAACCTCAACCTCGTCTCTTGCATCTATGGATTGCTTGGTGATGCCAGTTTCATTGATCCGACGACGCTCCACGGGTTCTCGGTTGGGTTATATGCCTCTGACCAAGGATGAGTTGGACCAAGAATCCGAGAGACCCGTGACGGTGGTGGTCGGAAAAGAGAAGAGGGTGTTCCTGGTGGATCCTTTCATATTACAAGAGAACCCATTTCGGGTTTTGATGGATATCTCTATGAAGAAGGATCCAGCGGAGAAGGACCGTTTCCATTTCACGACAAGCCAGCGGAGAGTAATCTTTGTCGATGTGGACGACATTTTGTTCGAGCACATGTTGTGGCTCATGCACAATGATACCTCTTCTTTGTTTCAACTCAATTTGAAGGAGATTATTGACTTCTATGCTCAGGATATGTAATCATCTAAATTAGAGGCTAGCTTTCCTTTCACCACAACAGAGGTACTCTGTTTTACAAATTTCGGTTCGTACCTCGTTACTATAACCCAGAACGAACTCCTAGCTTCTTGTATTATGTGTCTAATAACACACACTAATATATTATTACACACACATGACACATGATGGTTGATAATATATATTATTCCTGAATAATATGCCTAATTTGTCACTCGTCTTTACCTACATCAATTTTAGATAATTATCACTCCTATATTGTTGACATTTTCATGGGAACAGCAAGAATGTATAGAGTGTAAATTCAATTCAAAAACTTAAATTTAGAAGTTATTAACAGTTTTTACATTATATCTCTCTCACATATCCTATCAAGCAAAGGATATTGAACAGACTCATTTTTTACTTTTATACTTACTTAATTAAAGACAGTAAAAGTTGAATTCGTGACGACCCACTTGAATATAAACAACTAATTAAACTCAAAAACTAAACATTAGAAGTTAAGGCTCTTAATGATTTTTTGTATTATATTTCTTAGCTATAGTGGTGTTAATAAAACATTAAATGCTTCGTTTGAAGTTTTGAACTCTGGAATCTGTAAATGGAATAAGCGTTGCTTCCCCTGCATCCTACGTTTCTTATCTTGTAATCAAAATGGAACAATAAGGTGCAATTGGATTGGATGATTAATTGTTTCACACCCAACCTTTTTATTTATCTTGTGTGGTTGGTTGGGGTTTAGACTTTACAGCGAACAATCTCACGGTAACCACGTTGTCAAAATCAAAAGAGTTAATGTTTCAATCTGGCTCTGGGTTTAGGTGTCCGTCCAAGTTTCTTTGCTTCTAATCCTTCTCTATACAAGTGGGTTAGTTAGTTGAAATGTGTCAGTCGATTTCCGGAACTTGCTGTCATGTATCCATTAATTAATTTTAATAATAATCACCGAGTTTCGAACAACCAAAGGCTTTTCTTAAATGCGAACATACCACAGATGAGGAGGCTGGAAAAAAACAATCCCACTACTTAGTTGGTATAATAGATACCGATATCCTTCTTTTGCATGCCTGCACATATGCCTTCTGTCTTTTGGGCTAAATGTAGGGAATCAGAAATACTATGGACAAGATGTAGGCCCATTTTCATGACAAACAGTTCACTAATGACCAGCCGGGCAGCACATCGCATTTTCCTTATGTAAGAAAAAAGTAATCTACCAACTTTTAAAGATAAATTTGAAACCGAGGTTGGCCCAATACTCTCTACTAGCATATTTGGGTGACTGGACTCTACAGGCTGCTCTTGGCCTCCCATTTAGATTCTTGAGCTTGGAAATTCTAGTAAGGCAATCATATCCCCGCCGCAGCACCCATCCTCAAAAATAATCCTTCACAATAAGAGCATCCATAATAATCTTAAAAAAATAATCAAACATATATATCAAAAAGTACTCAGCAAAACATAATCAAAATTTAAAATGTAACCATACTTAATTTTAAAGTGGCTAGACTTTTCACTGCTGTCTTTGTCTAATGGGTGAAAGGGTCATTGTGGAAGATAGAAATCTGAGCTTTCTCAATTGACTCCTCCAAATAATGCTGCCATCTTGTTCATTTAAATATTTATTGCTCCATGCAAATAGACTTTTGTCACCTTAAATGGGCCAGACCATCTAGATTTCAATTTACCAGGAAAGAGATTTAATCTAGAATTGAAAAGTAAAACCTCTTGTCCCACTTCAAACTTCCTTTCTAAAATCTAGCGTATCATGCCACCTCTTCATTTTTTTCTTATAAAGCTTGACATTGTCATAGGCATGTAGTCTAAATTCATCCAACTCATTGAGTTGGAGGAGCCTATTTTCTCCTGAAACAGTGACATCCACATTCAACTGTCCCTCTAGGATACTCCCCATACAAGTTAGTCTTTGAAAAGAATTGTCATCTACCTTTAGAATTGGAGTATAAAGCTTACATAGTAATCTTATGTGTTTCGATGCCATTTTTTTTAATAAAAAAACTTAAAATACTATCATTTCTAAAGCCGGTGTAAAACGATGAAATATAAAAAATATTTTTAAACCTTGAGATTTTTGAGTTGAATTATTTTTTATATGGTATCAAATTTTTTGTGATCAGGTCACGAGATCAATTCTTACTGTTATTATAAACAAATTTAACATAAGTAGGCATGCAGGACGTGTTAAAGAAACATAATATAAAACTTTTATGGGAAATATAATCATCATGTTATATGACACAAGTTACATTATGTTGTACAGACAAAGTTGGTGGGATTCACTGTTTAATTTATTTTTTATTTAAACAGTGGACCCTACCAACTTTGTCTCTACAACATGATGTAACTTGTGTCATGTAACATGACCAAATACAATCCCAACTTTTATACCATAAACTAAAAGTAACCACCACTAGTGTTCTCGCCAACCACCTTCGTTATCTATAGCCAGCAATCTAGTGCATTACTAGAAAAATCCTATATAAAGAGAGAATTGCTATGCAAATTTCGTCGCTAATTTCATCCTCGCTACTACTTTCCCTCGCAAAATCGTTTGCGAGGAAAAGTAGTAGCGAGGATGAAATTAGCGACAGAATTTTTATAGCAATTCCCTCGCTATACAGGAATTTTCTAGTAGTGTGGTGGCATCCACAATTCTGTTAAAATGTTATTTAGATAATACAAGCGTGCACAAAAATGTGTTCTCTGGCACGATTTCTAGAAAGAAATATATTTCTTTTATTCCAGTGCTTAAAAAAAGCTTCTATAATTTTTTTTTGATAACACAAACAAAAATAATTTGCTGATTGGGATGATGAAGACTTGCTCATTATGACTTGACTATGGGACTCTATGACTCCTTAGATTAGCAACATTGCATGTTCTTACCTACTGCCTTTGAGATCTGAGATGTTCTTAGGCAGACCTATTTAATGAAACAAGATGCCGCCACCTGCTATGATCTGCGAAATAGGATTTTTTTCTACCAAGCAGGGCTCTTTCCCAGTAACAGAGTATTATGGCATTCTGAATGCATTGTGGACTGAGCTTGATCAGTACCAGAGTTTGAAAATGGAGTTTAGCAAGGATGCAGCCACTCTAGCCACCTCTTTTAAAAGAAATCAGATTTTTGACTTTCTTTGTGGTCTCAACTCAGAATATGACCTTATTCTGGTTCAAATTCTTGGTAAGAAAAAATTACATTCTCCTTCTGAAGTTTTTCACACTGTTAGGAGTGAAGAAAGTTGCAAGGCTGTCATGATGAATACCAAGTTGTCTGAAGGATCTGTCATGCTCTCATCTAAAGTCACTACTCCAGCTCCTTCTAATTCTGAGCCCACTGACGGGTTTGCAATGATCTCGGCTAAGCCATCTCTAAGGTTTTTTTCTTCTAAGCCCAGCAAAGAGGGGAGGGGCGTTGGTGCAACTATTGTAAAAGAAATAATGTATTTAATAAAAAAATAAAAATAATGTACATTTAGCATTGATAACACGTTATATGATGTTTGTATTTAATAAATAATTTGTCAGGAAAAAATAAAAAAAATATTTATTATTTCTGTTAATTTATGTTCCAAGCAACCAAACAAAAATAATACAATTTTATTAAATACTATTTTAAATTATTTTTGTTTTCTAAATTAAAAATAAATACATAAATAAAGAATGAGAAAAGCGTTTGTTATTTTGAAGGATACAACTTTGTATAATTTTTAATCAAACAATGTCGTTTTGGTGTATATTTAGTGATTTTTTACACTCTCTCCTTCACTTTCTCTCTCTTCCTAATATTATGTACTTTAAAATGATAAATATTTTTTCAAAAAAAATATTTTTGAAAATATGACCATACACCTACATTTAGACGTAAAATAGATTTACATTTAAAAAGAAAATATTTATGAAGAAACAATTCATAAGTTTTTTTAATCCATCCAAAATGTTTCCCAAGATTGGAATTTAACACCTTATTACAATTTCTCTTTTTATTAGCTAAAAATTTCCTTACCTTAATTCGAGTAATTGTATGGATACCTTGCAATGAGCTGCCTAAAGAAATTTGGAATTTTGGCGATTTTGACCAATAGAGAAGAGGAGGAAAAGTACAAAATGTCAAAGCAAAGCAAGCACAAATCTGCTTTAACTTGACGGATATTGCTTATTTGCTGCCTCCAATATTGCCCTAACAATTTAAATTAGTCAATGGTCAAGATATATGACATAAATTTGAACATTTCAGATTGTGACATCTTTCAGCATATTTCACATTCAAATATTATGAAAATTGTTAGTCAGGATTGGCATATCTAGCGGAATTTCTATCCGTCCTACTTATGATTTGGATTCTATTATGATATGGCGATATGGAAAGAAGAAAATACATGTTCTTTATATAATTTTATTCACTACCTTAGTCAAACATCTGAGTTGTATATATATCTAAGGGAAAAGTGTTTGTCCTTTTAAATGACACAACTTGCATCTTTTCACTCTCACAAAAAGATGGGACCCACACCTTTATTTTTTTTGTTCACTCTCTCTCTTCCTTTATTTATCTCTTTCTCTCACTTAAAATGACACAACTTTACATCCTTTAAAATGACACACATTTATGTTATCAAAAAAAAAAAAAATGACACACATTTAATCCTATATCTAAATATAAAACATTCAATCTTAAATGACTACCATTAATTAACAACAACGATTTTTTTTTCCTAATATTATAAGAATCCCACGATCAGGTTTTTCCTAAATTATTTCATTTGTTTACGGATCTTCCTAAAACTGTGGGTGACAATATTATTTACTTCATATACATACGGGCATCCCAACCATGTTTTTTGGGGATATTATAAATAAGTTCATCCGCAGCATCTTTTGGAGTTAGGTTAGGACAGCATCATCTCCAAAATATCATTATACCATAAAATCATGAAGTTTGATTAATAACAATAAACATAAATGTCATCATGACTTAAAACTAGTTATGACATTTCTTAGTTGAAGCTTGATTAATAAACTCAAAGCAACTCCGTAGTACTTTGACATCATTATCATTTTGGCCCCATCCATCATGGCCGCTATACGACAACACCATAAACAGTCCTCGAAGCGTGGTTATGTTTAATTAATCACTCTATATTTCCAACGTTATATATATTTAATTAAATAACACGAAAACTATGATTTCTTTTGGGAAATATAAAGTTCAACTGCTCTATATGTTATTATTATATCAAAACATATTAATGAAGTTGACAGCTTAGAAACAAATGGATGTAAAGCATTAGAATGAAATGATATTATATTGCACATACGACTTTCTCAGTTTGATTCTTTTATTCAAGCCTTATTATTTATTTTCTTACTTAATTATTAACCACACTTGCTCTAATTTATTTATGTTAATTGATGGGGAGCTGGAATCTTTCTTCCCAACTACCCTTCAGGTGTCGTGTACCATGTATATTTCTTATATATATTCTCATCTTTGTCGCTACCTTTATCACAGTATTATAATTAAGATTTTATACAATAAGAATATGTTCCCTCGAAATATATAAATACATTAGTTTTTGTGGGTTAATCAACACAATACAAGCGGTAATATATTTCATCAATACGACCTAAATCAATGTTTTCCATGTTTTTTAGTATGTTCAAAACTTGATAATGTTTTTTATAGTCTTTATAATGTTACTCTTTAATAAAAATATGACATGTATTATTTTTTTACGTCTCAACTATGAAATCTTTGAAAAGGAAGATTTAATTGCCAAAAATCAATATTCATATCATGTTTTTTTTTATTAAAAATTAACACTACAATTATTCTAATAATTTTACTTAAATTTTATTTTTATAAACTATAGTATACTACTATTATTAATGATTAAACTTAAAATTTCTAAAAAAACGAATGAAACTTAAAATAGAAGTTATATAGAACTTAAAAGAACATGTTTTTAAAACAAATTAGAAAAAATGTATTTTTTTGTTGTGATTTAAAATAGATCGTGATTTTAATCAATTAAACAATTTAATAATGGATAGACAAGTTCGTTTTGAATTAGCATTTTATAAATTTGGCAAGGATAATCTACATAACAAATTATAATTCGATAAGGCCTCTTTCTCTCCGTGATGTTAGAGAAATATAAAAGTCATTGAGTGAGCAGTTTTTAGTGGAATTAAATGAGTATAACGTAAAATTAAGAAAATGAGTATGTAAAATTTCCATACTTTAAGTCCAAATAACTTTTGCATAAAGACGTGCGTTAAAGAGATATAATATAAAATTATTGAATACTCGTCACTTACAAACTTAAGCATTTAAGTGATGACTCATCCATAATTTTTATATTTCTCTAACTAATATATAGAACTATAGGAGAAAATTGGTGAATATGTCTAAAGCAGGTTAGCCCAGCATCATCAAATAGCGAAGAATTCTCCAAGAAACTTCATTTGAAGAACTAATAAAATAAATTTTAATTTACATTTATTTTCAATAAAAAAGGAAAAATCGAATGTCTTTACAAACTTTAAAGATAAATATATGTAAGTACGGAAAGGAGATGACAGCTTTTGCCTATATTATTATTTGAGAAATTCTTGGCGACTCCTAGAGCAAGAGAATATATATTATTATCATTTCGGTTCCATATATGTAAATTATTATTGTTTCTCACTTTAACTATATTTTATAACAAAGATGATAGACAAGCTAAGGTAATACATATTTAGTTATCTAGCTGTCTAGTCTCTAGAGATTGGTTGGCCAGGGCAAACCAGTACATTGGAAAGCATATCCTTAAGCGAAGTGCTTAATGGAATCAAATACAATTCTCGGATAATAATGAAGCGCCATTACATCTTGTTTGAGCAAAGCGTGGTACGGCTTCATTACTGTGTGTGTGCAAAGCCAACACTCTCTCCAATTCCATCAGAAACGCAAGCCACTTTGCGTAAAAACATATTAAGTGGAGAATAATTAAAGTCATTTGGCATTACATCTTTGCAATATTTAAGTCGTGGGCGCCGGAAACCTAGCTACCTAATCGAACCTACACTTACAAATTTCTGATCCACAGATAAATATCTTCTAAGTAATTAACCTCTTCAAGCTACTCAAATTAACATGAGGTCATGACTTGTAAGATTAGTGTGATTCGGGCCTAATTAAAAAGGGGATTAGTATGCAATCAATTCCATATTTTATAATTATCTTGTCTACTAGCTACCGCGAGCGTTTTCTAACCTTTTGAGATTATGATTAAGCAAATAGATCAACCAAATGATTGGATTAGGCGTTTCAGTATATATGTGGAGGCAATATATTGTTACTATCCCTCATGCATGCATTTTCTGGTCACTTCACTTCTCCTTTGCCGACCTAAAACTTATATAGCAGATTGCTGGTGTTCCAAGTGTGATTTCATCACCATAAGATGATGGCAGTTTTAGGTTAGGGTAAATGCCATATGACTCTTTTCTTAACCAGATCAATACTTAACCAAAAGATTAGTACCAGTACTAGCCAACAGAAGTGGGCTTCCAATTCATCACTTGATCTAGCTAATAGGTTTCATATATTGTATAATCTGGTCATGAATTAATGATCAGAAAGTTGCAGGTTGCAACTAATATGTACTGAAATTAGTTAACTTTGAAAAAGGAAACCGATATCGAGTTGCATAGACACAAACAAAAAGTGATAGCTAGGGAAGCGTGATGCATGGCACATAAGATGACAGCTAGAGATTATAAACATAAATTATAATCAGGAGTTAGGCATTTGAGTTTATCAAGACTAAGTTCACTCCAAGCAAATATAAGAGAAGTAGTCATGCGCAAAGATTCATTGTTGCAAAACTGTTTTAATGTATGATTGCTGAGCATAATTAAGTAGCCAGAACTTCTCCTGGGAAGAAAACCCTTTCTTCTTACGGCAGGTTTTAGTTCCCCCAATATCTACTGTTTATTAATCAATAAATTCAACACCAAAAGGCCCACCCTTATTTTTTTTAAAAATCCCTAGTAATGCTTTCATATACTTAAATATACAAAAACAGATTCAATTGTCATTTGACATTATTTGTAACTCGTTAAACCAAGGACTTTCACGAAGAGGGAAAGTTGTGTTGGCGAGGTGACATTAAAAAAAGAAGCCAACCAGCTGCTAATATGAAATATATATAGAAGGGTGAAAGTAATAGACGAAAATAAAATGTTCTGAAATAGAAAGTGGGGGAGTTATTGCTTCATGTTAAGTTCGTTGAAACGTGGCTAGAGTGCAAGTGCTTGTTTAAAAGCTGAATCCCTCAAGGCTCAAATTAACATCTAATTAATAAAATGAAATAACTAAGATACACTAATGATATATATATATAGTTCTATAGTAAATTAAACAAGGATCCCAAAGATAAAATCAAAACCAATGAGACACTAATTAAGTAGAACATAACTCAAACGCACTACATCTTATCCATGAGAGTAACAAGATAGAAGAAATTAGAGAACAAGTAGAAGCAGCATCATATATATATAGATATAAAGTCCATGAACTTGCTGACCTCAATTTAACAAAGCATTGAATTAATGCCCAACTTGCAATTGCTAGCTTTGATCAACATCTTCATCTTCATCACATTAGATTAAGAGACATAAATAGAGACAGGAGCATGTAACAATCCACAAGAAAAGGAAAAGACCTTGCAAACCCTCAATATGGTTTTCCCGCCCAACCATCCACTGGTAACTGAACATTCTGCATAGTCTGAAGCGGCAAATTGAAGAAGGGAAGTCCAGACGATGGGTCAGGAAATGGGTTGTTCCCCAAACCACCGCCGCCTCCTCCGCCGGAACTCTGACCACCTCCTGACGGCGGTTGTATCTGAAGTTGTTCTTCCTCATCCAAAGGTAACCTCTCATAAGCCACGTTAGTGAACGAAGCTGCGATTACAGTCACGGGTCCCGCTGCGGTCAACTCGCCGACCACACTCCCACCCACCACTTGTCCTTGCCCTCCGGCAAGGTATATGGTGAGGCTCGTCGCGCCTGGCGGAGCCGGAGGAGGTAGGAAAGATCCGGAGAGTGACAATATCTCGAACCTTCCGTGTAGGGTGACGATGGCTCCCGCTGATGCTGGCTGCCTCAAGCTGACATTGGTGACGGTGCCACTCCCACTCAGAATACAGATCCCCCGCTGGCGCCGCCGTGCGTAGGTGGAGACGCAGTCGAACACGTCGCAGCCGTTGCCAACTTCGAGAATATGAGCCCGAAGCGTGTTTGCGCTCTCCCTCGTTATGATGACCGGCGGCTTCGGTTTGTTCTTGGAGCCCGGCGGGCGTCCCCGTGGTCGACGGCCAACGATATCGCCGGGACCGGCGGAGGTGAGGTCGAATCCTTGGTGGGGTCCATCTTCGGTGGAAAAGGGGTCTGGTTGGTTGGCATCATCTTGGGATTCTTGTTGTTGTTGGTTGAAGTCTGGTCTGTGGAGATTTTGAACAAAGCGTGAAGCTGTGCCTAAATCCAAACCAGCCATAGACACATCAAAGGAAGAGAGAGATATAGAATTTTTATTCAAAGAAAACAGAAAACTAATTAAAAATATATATATATATATATTATTATTTTTTTGGGTTATTTGATCATATTAATTAATACTAGCTACGAGCAAATTTTCTTTAAATACTGTTCTTTTCCCCCGTTGCTTTTTTGTTTATGGTTATTTTAAACGAAGTGGTGTGTTTGTGTGCATATGTATATATATGAAATAAAAAAGATATGGATGGGAAAGGAAAAAGAGTTAGACACAGTGAATGAGAGAAGGAGCTTGTGTTGTGATTAGTTGAATTGGATGGAGATAAGAAATTAAGGGGATAATACAAAAGAGAAAGAGAGAAGCGGCGGTGGATGGAGTGCAGAGAAAGAAAAGGAAGCGGAAGGAGCAGAAAAAGAAGAACAAAGGCAAGAGAGAGAGAGAGAAGACACAAAACGCAGTCATTTGTTTGGACAACCAAAAGTTTAAATAATAGTCATAAAATAATAATTGGTTGGGAAAATCTTTAATACGCTTTCTTATTCGAAAGGTCGATGAAGAATTGAACGAATAGATTGCGAGTGTTCATCACTCCAATTCCCGGAGCGTGCGCATTACGCGATCCTAAATTCATTATTGGCTATTAATACAGGGAGGATCGGCTTACAAATGTTTTTTACAAATTTTACTATATTTATCTGTGTTTGTAAATATATTCTGCCCCATTAACATAACTCAAATATTTGGGATAGATTATTCTATCTATCATTTTTTTGTCTACCTTTATCTATCATTCTCCAACTTCATTAGATTAGAATCTTAACTACATTTATCTTTTTTCTCTCTTATTGAGATTTTAATTCAACAATGTTAGAAAATAATAGACAAAGATAAGCAGAAAAAATAATAGATAGAATAAGTTATACCTAAATATTTTTTACAAAAGATAGATTTGGATAGATAGATACCCATTACCCAAGTATTCAACAAGGTTGCTCTGGCTCCGAAGGTGGTATTTTGAGTTTTTAAAAAATAACAAGGATTTATATTATTTGCATTCAAGTCTTTATTAAAAATAGTACTTTTGATCATGTTATTCTTTTTTTTCCCTGTGATAGTAATAAATAAGTAGCAATTTAAGAGAATTGATTATTTAATTTGGTAATGTTTTTAATCCGTTTTATATCTCTCGTCCATTACTATGTATGTAGCTTTGACTCTGCAATACAATAGTTTTTTAAAAAAAAATTCGTTGTTAAACTGATTACATTAAAATATTATTCATGTACATAGACTATTTAATTCATTGAAGACATTCTTAATGCATTTGAGTATTTTGATACACAAATGATTAAAAAAAGTCAAAAAAATTGAAAAAGGTAGTTTTCAGCAACTGATAATTGGGTTTTGTTTATGTTGCATTGTTGTTAAGGATGAACCCGAACCGGTTTTTTTTTACTATCGGTTGCTAAAAATTACCAAAATACCTTTTTCAAAACCGGTCAAAATACACAAATTGTTGTTCATAGAAATTAACAAAAATGTACAAGCAAAATTATTCACATTGCTTAGTAATTCTACTATCAATCTCTCTCTTTATTTTTAATAAATAATTTTATATCTTTTTAATACTAATTTTAATATCTCACAGAAAATATTTTTATTTTTTATTTAATAATTTAAAAAAATTGTTTGAAGGATATAGAATTATTCCGTTGAGAACTGCCACTACTCAAAAAGGGACTCTACCTAAATCAAAGTGCTCCTCAACTACCACAATTAGCCTAAGCGGTTAAGCCCTCTAAAATTTTTTCGTTACATGCATGGATAACTTATTTGTTGACAATTTACCAAAGAATATATCCTTTTGGTAAACTCATAAAACATATTAGCCTTTTCATGAGAGACAAATTAGGACATGATTATAATTATATAAAACGTTTAACATTGCAAATTGCAATAGACGGATAGAGACAAAAGCTTATGGGTCAGAAGTAGATCTTATCACAGCATGCCATAACCAAGAATAAATATTCTCTCCATGCGTACAAAGACAAGAACCAACCAAACCAATTTCAATGAACCAAAAGCAGGACGAGAAACAGTACAAGAAGAAAAAAATTGGGAAGAGCACATGGATTTCAAGCCTTGTAAAATGGTCGCTTTATGGTTCAAAATGCAACTGATCTTCCTTCTTGCGTTATGATTTATAGTGGTTATTTTTTTATTTAATAAGCATTATCATTAAGCTGAGTAAAAAAAGATAAAAGTAATTTTTCATTTAATAAAAACGTACAAAGTACTATAACCTTTGTGTAAAAATGCGTAAGTTAACAAATTACATGAAATAAACGAATTTAATGAACAATATGTGTGAAAACAAATTATATGAGAAATTCTCTTACCCAATTCAATTATTAATGAATGAATATTTAATTAAATATGCTAACGAGAGGTACTAATTAAAAATATAATTTAAAGTTTGATCAGTCTAAGGTGATTATGGGCTGATCATGATTTAATGAAGTTATTTTGTTGATGATTTGATGCAACTCTCCTGTGAGTTCTCCATTGAATAATGCATGAGGTGTACTTTCAATGCTCAACTCAGATTTTGTAAAGCAAATTTAAGTATATAGAAGTAAATGTGTAGTTTGTGTTCAGAATACTGGTATTTATAATAAAAGTGATGAACAGCTTTGTGAGAGGTCACTGATTGTTCTTAGTAAATGATGAGGTGACAAAGTCTTTCCATTGACTATTGATAGAGGTGGCTTGAGGTTGCAGAGAAGCATAAAAAATTCCAACAACTATTGTTAATTTGGGAAGCCTCTTTGAAGATGTTTTCTAAATGGTGAAGGATTTATGTGTGGGCTTTAATATATTAGTTCAAAACAAAGTGTAAAATTAAAAATAGTATTAAAATTTAAGCAACATTTCACAATTTTTTAAATAATTGTAAATATTAAATACTTCTTAATTAATACATTTAGGGCATTAATTACCAAGACATATTTGAAGAAATATTTTTTTAGTGAGGTAGATTTCCTCCTTTGGCATTGAAGAATTATAACATGTTTGTTTGACGGTATGAACAAACATTGATACGGCGCATATTAATCAACATACTTTTAAGTCAATATATATATATATATATATATATATATATATATATATATATACACACAAAAATTTCCTCCATATTTTTAATTTTTATTTATTTTTTTAAATTTAGCTATCCCAACCAAATTAATTTAAGATAAAGGAAAAATTAATTTTATGTTAATATTATTCAAAATTAAATGGATGTTTATTAAAAAAAATTAAATGGATGTTGAATATATTTTATTCATTTAAATATTTATGATAAAAATTTAAAATTAATAATTAACTAAATATTAAAAATATTTTACATATTACAAGAAAAAATTTAATATGTTGATTATTTTAATGATATTTTTGCATGGTTGTAAGATCGGGTGATGGAGTGGTTTTTTTTTTTTTTTTCTCAACCAGATCTTATTCCGCATTCTTATGTATTGAATTTGTATTCACCTCTCAAGCAAAATATCAAATTTGCATTTGTCTTATTTTGCTTAATACTATTTAAAAATAAATTCATACAATAATCAATATCTATCTTAAAATTAGTTAATCATTTTATACCAATAGAAAAATATTTTTAGGTTAAGCATTAAATTAATAAAATAATTTATAATAAAATTCATACTCGAATATCATCAATAATTGCTACTTTACTTTGACAATATCTAAAACTCAATTAAAACTATCACGGTTATGACTTTTTTTCTGTCTTCTTTTTTTAATTTCAAATCTTTAAAATAATACAATCCCTGACAAGATTATAATTCTTTTTTTTAGTATATGACAAGATTATAATTTGGGTTTAGTGTTTGTCCTCCTAAAGGATATGGAGTTATGTCATTTTAAGTGAGAGAAAGACACAAGCAATAAAAATCATAGAAAAGAAAATGAATTATTTTTAAATTTAAATTTTAAATAAAAAAATATTATATTATGTCTTTCTTTATCTTAAAATGACATAAATATATGTTCTTTAAAAGGACAAATATTTTTTCCTTATAATTTTTCTTATTCATTTATTATAAAAAATCTAATTTTTTATCTGAATCTTTAATCTTCACGTTTTCATAACGATTTCATAGCATTAATTTATTCACAATTTGTCGCATATTATATCTTGTAATAAACTTGTAAACACTCAAAAAATATGGTTGATAACATGACATTATTTATTTGTTATCATCATAATTAGATAAAGTATGAGATTTAACTCTATTAATATATTTTTTATTTTTAATCTTATATTAAATCGTAAAGTGTTTTTCTTTTTTAAGATGATATTATTAGCCGAATATAGAGTATGTGGATGGGGTTAGGCCAATGGAATATGGAGGCTTGGCACTAGAATGAATTTGGGGACCTTGTCATTGTGGGCTGACACCTACCCCGGTTTTTTATAAGTTGACCATATCAGATTGAGTTGACCATATACCAAAGGCCAAAGGGTGGGGTGGAGAGTTACTACCTCCCCCATAAAATTCACATTATTTGTTATTGTAATATAAAAAAAGGTTTGTTGTTTGTCATTTTAAATGATATAAATTATGTTATTTTAGAAGAGAGATAAATACAAAAAATAAAAATCATAAAGAGAGAAAATAGATGGTTTTTTTTAAATAAAATTTATTTTATATCTATCTCGCTTATATTAAATGACAAACACTTTTGTCAATAAAAAACATGATTTACGCATCACATTAATAAACGAGGGTGGAACGAGGCAAGTGGGACATGTTGCTGTGGCGCGTGGGTCGCACTCTTGTCTCCTTACTCCCCTACCAAGGATGACCCTCTGCCGCCCTCAGCACCCATAGTCTGCCTCCTTCTTCATCTTTCACTCCAAAATACCTGCTATTCTGTAAGTTTAATATTATGGCTGGAAGCCTGGAACGTACAAG